GAGCTCCCTCCTGCACCCCACCAGCTCTCCACCCTGAGGAGCCGAGGCTTGGGTGCTGACGGATTCAGACTAGGAAAACGAATGGGGAATTATAGCCCTGCTGAAAACAAGTGGTGGCAAATCACACCAGGTAGCTCTCACAGCTGTGAGGGGAGGGGAGCATGGTGGGTGGGAGAGAGAGATCAAGCGGAGACTTTTTCTGCACAGAACCTGTTTTGAGCAATGAACCTGCGCCCTTTCTGGACACCTCCGTATGGGCAGCTGGAAGGAGTTTGGAAAGCATCGGCTAAGGAGCCAGCCGTCATAGTCGCACTCGGCCCAGGAGACCTGGACTGAAGGGTATCGAAAGCCGACTGCCCACCTCTGTGCCTGGAAAGTCCCGCTGCCTGGCTGTGGATTTCTATCGCCTGGTGCCGGCACGGTCCCCTGTGCATCCTGCTCTCTCTCCACCGATGCCTTGCAATGGCAAAGAGTCTGGTGCCCAGCAAGCAGCTTCTTTCCCTGAAGTGCTCTCCTCTCCCCCATGCCCGCTCACCAAAACCCTGGAGACGAGCAACAGCAAAGCATGTGTGCGCGTTGGTAAAAGCCAGAGAAACAGCTGGGGACCCCAGGCAAGACCTTGTCAACCAAACAGCACCCCCCTGCAATCACTGGGACCTAACGAGAAAGGCCCAAAGAGACCAAGCAGAGCAGCAAGGGCACGTGACAAGAGACAGATGCTGCTACAGCGAATCCTCGTGTTCCCAGATGCAGCTATGCCAAGACTCCTTCCTAGCTCTGAATCAGGCACATTTTTCGGTCTTTGTCTTATTGATTGTACTCTGCTCGGCATCAGGCTGGGTTCCAGCTACAAGGGGCTTGGAGGGGGGAGCTCATGTCCTGCCCCGGTTGCTCACAACTTGATGAATGCAGTCCAGAGCAAGTTGTGACCGGCCCGGAGACCCATCTAGGGAAGAAGAGAGTCACGGAGCCCTGCACCACCCCTCCCTACCTGGGCAGGACAGTCCCGAAACGGGAACATCAAGTCCCAGTCCCCAATGCACAATCCATGCAAGGATCTGGGTTTTTTGTTCACTGCAGGAAATGGCGGGTTTCCCCTTGCAGGCTGGCAGCACCCCAACCTGCAAGAGGCTGCGGGGAGCGGGAGAAGGGGGTGCCACGTGCATGGGCACTTGCGCACACATGCACATGGCCAGGAACACAGCCCCAGGCAGTGGTGGAGAGCAGCTCCTCCAC